CTGTTGCATTTTTATTCTCCCCTTTCAGGGATTTCTATTATCTATATGTTGGATCTTCTTTGCCTATCATAAATGTTAGTCACTTTTTCTCATTATTATCTCTTTCTTCATTTATTTTTATCTTAAAATTTCTCTTGCCTTAAGGCATTCTCTTGGGTTTACCTATTCTTGTGTTTCTTCTATTTCAATTTTCATCTCCAAAATCATTTTTTAATTTTCACTTCTTTCCTAAGTTCTGTCACCTCATTCATGAAGTTTTTCTATTTCAGATTTATATTGTTTAAGGCTTACTGCATGGTCTTAAGGTCGCTTAGCTCCTTTGAAAATAGAGAATTATAGTTTTCATCTGCTTTGTTGCACTTCTTTCTGGCATTATTTCATTATCTATAAGAACTCTCTCCTTACTCTTTTTTTTTCTTATAATAACTGAAAGATTTGACAGCCATCATTTCCTGATGCTTATTTTTATGTACAATTAGTTTTCCTGAACTTTTAAGAAGGAGACATGGTTCAGGTTAGCCTTCTAATTTCACATAGCTCTCCTTTTAGTTGCTTTCATGTAGTGTTCAAAAAAATGTTGGTTTTTGAGATTTCACACACACACACACACACACACACACACCTTTATTTATTTATTTTATTTCTTTTCCCTTAACCATAACTTCCCCTATCCTGATTATTTTGACTCTGCTCCCATACTAAATTTCTCTTTGGCAGTGAGAAGTAAGCCCTGGAAGTAAGCCTTACTGGGTTGGTTTCAATAGATTATAGGGTCCAGTCCACAGATCTCTTCCATCCATCCATTATTTGAGTGCACAAAATCCTTCTCAATTTCAGTTGCTGTCCTCACATTAACCTGCCAAAATTTCCAGTGGATTTCTATTGAAAATGTTGGGGTTCTCCTCTTCTCAAGCCTGCCAAATGCCCCAATGTTTACTTCTGCTTTCTCCTGCTCAGATGTTGATACTCTGCAGGTCTTGGTGATGGTATATCCCCAGCCATTTGTGTTTTGGGATTGATAGAGATAATTTGTCACCTATGTTTATTATAAATATTGTTAATGGGTTTCCGAGTTTGCTATGTGGGGATTTAGAAAGAATTAAAAATTATGTTATTGTTATCACCATCTTCCAAAATCACTTAAGTGATTTTAATGGACTTTTGCATCTTGTTCTTTTCTTTCTTTCATACTAGACAGAAAACTAAAATACCGGGTGGTCTGGTTCAATTCCAACACCTGGCAACTCCAATGCTTCCCCAGAGACCAAAAACTCCAGGGGACCTGGCTTCACATCTAAGCTAAGAACACACTGGCTCTGGCAGGGGCAGCAAAGCTTTAGAACTGCACCCTCAGAGCATCCACCACCCTCCCTCAGCCTCCCAGCCTCAGGAAATTAACCAGGGGAAGGCCCAGCAACACTCTAGGGCTGAAACTAGAAAATCAGGCCCGAATCTCACTAAGGAGTTCTGCTGGGCAATGTTATTCTAGGTGTAGCCTAATTCTTTGCCATTCCTCACAGTGAACAACAATAAATGGATTTTAAATCTCATTATTGCTTCATTCCTTTCATGTAGCTAAAAAATTCAAAAGGGAGAGATTTGAAGATGGTGGTGTAGGTAAACAACTATACTTGCTGCCTCCCACAACCACATCAAATTACAACTAAAATGTAGGACCACCATCATCCAGAATCGCTGGAAGGCTGGCTGAATGGAAGTCCTATAACTAGAGAAGTAAAGAAGAAAGCACACTGAGACTGATAGGAGGCACGGAGGTGCAGAACGGACTGGTCCACATGTGCCACTTTTCAAAAAGGAGATCATCTCTGTGGAGGCCGCTGGGAGGAGCAAGGGGTCCCAGCCCCACACCCTTTCCCAGGATCCCAGAACTGGAAAAAGAAGTCCCTATGGGCAGTAAGAACTACAGAACTATGGGCTGTAAAAACCAATGTGGATTGGGGCTCAGTGATGCAGAGGCTGCTGGAGACCCAGCTGTTCCTCTTAAAAGGCCAGCACCATGAATTGAACTTACAAGGTCCTGCTTCCTCTGAGCTCCAGCCCCAGGGTGAAGCTCTGGGGAACACATACACATAAAAGGAAGAACTGGATTGTCTGGCATCAATGTAGGAACTCAGGGGTGGTTTTCTCCCAGACGGAGGTCCCCACAGGGATCATTGTTCACAGGGCTGACTGGCAGCCATTTTGGTTTGCTCTGCCCTGGTGATTCCCTAAGACCCTGCCTCATACAATTTATAACCCCACCAAGCTATGTGCAACAGTTTTTGCATATAAATGGCCTGTCCTTAATCAGGCTAAAATCTCTCAAACAAGCTGCAGCTGGGTCAGGAAGCCCTAAACCTATCAATAAAAGGCCCAAGACCTGGCACCAGCATCAGCCTGCCTTGCTTCATATCTGGGCCTCATCTGGGCACTTCCAAACCCGATATAAACAGGAGGAATCTGCAGATTTCTCTGTAACTCTTGCTGGGTGGCGCCAGGCAGTAATTGATTTTGCACCTCCCTGGAGACCCAAGAGCCAGTGTACCCAGTGGTCAGTGTCAGACCATACTAGATTATAACTCTACACATTCATAAGTGACACATTCAAGGGGCAAACTCATGAGCACCAAAGCTCCACTGAAGCAAATCCTGCTCCATAGGGGTGTCTCCTGCATAGCAGTTCTCCCATTATAGTTGCAGCTGGTCCTCACAGCCAAATGACCTGGAGGTCAATTCCTCCCAGGGACACCAATAGCAATCAAGTCTCAACTACAACAAGACTGTGCTCACAGCCCACAAAGGGGTGCATCTAGAGCTCCCAGCTCAGGTGTGGGGAGGCTGAACCGCTGGGCTCTATAGGACATCTACTACACAAGGCCATTCTATCAACTCAAGGAGACATAGCAGTTCTACTCTACATAGAAACAAACACAGGGAAGCAGCCAAAATGCAGAGTCAAAGAAACATAAGACAAATGAAAGAAATGGAAAAAAGCAAACTACTGGATATAGAATTCAAAACCACAGTTACAAAGTTACTTAAGAATCTTCTATAAACCTCCCAAAAAATGGAAAAGAATCAGTCAGAAATTAAGCATACACTGACTGAAATAAAGAATAATATACAGGGATTCAACAGTAGAGTATAGGATTCTGAGAATCAAATCAACAATTTGAAATAAGAGGAAGCAAAAAACACCCAACTAGAAGAACAAAAAGAAAAAAGAATCCAGAAATATGAAAATAGTGTAAGGAGCCTCTGGGACAACTTCAAGTATACCAACATTTGCATTATGGGGATGCCAAAAAGAAGAGAGAGAGCAAGATATTAAAAACTTATTTGAAGAATGACAGAAAATTTCCTCTCCCTAGTGAAAGAAATAGACTTACAAGTCCAGGAAGCACAGAGAAAACCTATACAAGAGGAACCCAAAGAGGCCCACACTGAGAACATCATAATTAAAATGCCAAGGGCTAAAGACAAAGAGAGACTCTTAAAAGCAGCAAGAGAAAGGCAGTTAGTTACCTACAAGGGAGCACCCAGAAGACTGTCAGCTGATTTCTCAATAGAAACTGTGCAGGCCAGAAGGGAGTGACAAGAAATATTGAAAGTGATGAATAGTAAGGACCTACAACCAAGATTACCCAGCAGAGCTCTTATTTAGAAGATTTAGAGTTTAAAAAAAAAAGAAAGAAAGCTAAAGGAGTACATCACCACCAAACCAGTATTATATGAAATGTTGAAGGGTATCTATATCTATATCTATATCTGTATCTATATCTATATCTATCTATAACTATATCTAAAAGCCTAAGTGGCTGTTGCAATTGAACAACCAAAATGACAAATCAGCTCAACACAGGAGCTGCCGCCTGGTCGTCAGCACACTTACACAGCCAACCTCCCATGGCTCCTCCTTCCCCCCAGCTGGCTGGCCTCCCGCGGTCCTTCCCCCCTGCTGGCCGGCTCAGATAGGCCCAAATTGGGGGGCCAGCTGGCCAACCCCCCAATAGGCCTCGACTGCCAGCCAGGCCAAGGGACCCCTCCCATGCACGAATCTGTGCACCAGGCCTCTAGTTATTGAATGAAAAGAAGAGATAAAAATATGAACAATAAAATGACAACGAATACATATCTAACAACAATCGAATTTAAAAATCAAAGTAAACGAGCAAGAAATCAAAGAACAAAATAAACTAGTGAATTAAACAGAATCAGAGACAGATTGATGAATCTGAAAGGGAAGGGAGGAGGGAGTGTGGGAAGAGATTATCCAAAAATCTTACCTATGGACAAGATAGTACAGTGGTAAAGGCTTGGGATGGGGCAAGAACCAGGTGTAATGGGGGAGGGAGGGAAAAGGAGGACCTCTATAATATTTTCAACAATGAAGATTTTGAAGATAAATAAGTTGTGAAGTAACAAAAAAGCACATAGAGAGTACAATGCACAACCCAAGTATTGGCCATTCCTAGTGTCCTTGTACCTGAGACACAAGGCCAACACCTGTGCCCAGAAACACCACAGTTAGTCTGCGTATGTGTGTGCTGACCTTTTCCCTCATTATTCCTGTTTTCCCTCTGGCCTCTGAGACTTCCCACAGGCCCCTTTGAGCAGTGGCCAGCACAGAGGATAGGTGATACCCAGGCAAAAACCAGTGCTGACCTGCTACTAGAAGCAAGTGTGCCCTGTCCACACCTACTTCTCCAGCATTGAGGGTCTGAATTGTGCCATGTGCGCTGAAAAATTCCACAGGAATTGCATTTTTCACTCTCTCTTCTTGAAAGTTCCCCTCCTTTTCCTGTATTGTGAATGCTTCCCAAGGTAGTTTGTTTCTATATTGAAGGCACCCTGTCTAATGCTGTGTGGTATTTCATAAAGAATATTATATTCAACAATCCTCTATTGTTTGGGCATATGGGTTTTCTCTAACCAGAGCAAACAGCCCTGAACAGTGACCCCTTCTAGCACCCAACACACCCATCAGTTTTGTTACTTACAGCAAACTCCTCGGGAGTCACTTTCAAGACGTCGAAGACAACGGCATCGTAGCTCTTGCTGGCATAGTCGCAGCTCTGGCCCTCCAGAGAGTCTGAGCTGCTGCTGCCCTGTGGGGACCAGAAGAGACGTGCCACCTGAGCAGTCTGGCTGACTTGAGTCACTGCCTACCACGCCTCAGAACTGAGGAGGCAAAGAGTGACAGGCTGCATGGTGATAAAAGCTTGTATTGTTTAGTGCTTCACTCTGTTCCAGGCACGGTGCTAAGCACTATATATGCATCATGTTAACATCTCTGAGTACACACTATTACTATTCCCATTTTACAGCTAAGGAAGTAGAGGCAATGTTACTTCCCCAAGGTAGCTCAGCTAGGAAAGTGAAGAGCCAGAAAGAGAACCTGGTTGTGAATCTACTGGATCCCAGATCACTGCACCCCACCAGCTATGTAGCGATGGGGTAAAAAATACAGCCCAATCTTCCTTCAGAGGGAACCGGCCTTCCCATCTTAGGAAGCCTGAGGAGATCACCTATTTCGTTATATCTTTCAAACATTACCAGGTTTTACCTTTTTATTTATTTTTTCTACTTGAGTTCATTGCAGGAAATTGTTACACAAAATGCTAAATCTGCTCTTAAGGCTTATTTCATGCCTGGGCCACTTGGAATTCAAGCCTGTGAGCTGATGAGGTGAGAGGTAACCGACTGGCATTGGAGACAGGCGTGAAAGTTATATTTAGTAGAGTCCCTTGTTTGGAAGAACAGTGTGAGTCCTACAAGTAAAGTGTCTCCATAAAAAGGCAAGTTGAAACTCCCCAATTGTGGCCGGTTTCATGAAAAACCCAATGCTACAGGGATCCCAGAATGCTGAGCATACCTTCTCCTCAATTTTATTTCATTTCATCAAATCCCACTTTAGGGAACCAATCACACTTACCACCCAAAAACTGTGCCCTGTTCATCAATGGTTTTATTCCTCTCAATCCACGAAGAGGGATTTTGTGGTTTCCATTAACCTCAGCATCTTGGACTGGGATTTAGAGAATATGCTTTTATTAATTCCTCTTTATTTCACTCTTTCCAAAATGGCTATATCTGGAAAAACTTTGCAATCTTACTGGAAACTAGCGTCTTTTTAGGCCAGTAAGGGAAACCAATAGTCAATAACTGAAAATGTGAGGTTAAAAGGAGAAACAGAAACTAAACCTGTAGATTTCAATAGGCCTGTGTCATTTAAAGGCTTTACAAATGAGTCTGCTACCCCAAACCCTAAGATGATCTTAAGAAGCAGGGTCCCGTGGTGGTTAAAAGGCCAGCTCCACACCAGCTGCTCCCCAACCTCAGGTGAGTGCCTTCATCTTACCAAGTCCCAGGCATCTGTAAATGGCACTGTTGGAACCTACTGCCCAGAGCTGCAGTGGATTATAGAAAATGAAGCTCACAGAGCAACTGGCAGAATCCTCTCCCCTTCCCCCCAGAGATGCTGGTTCTAGGGCTCTAGGGGTCTGGTGGGCTCAGGGATAGCTAATTTTAAAAGTTATGCCGAAACCGGTTTGGCTCAGTGGTAGAGCGTCGGTCTGCGGACTGAAAGGTCCCAGGTTCGATTCCGGTCAGGGGCATGTACGTTGGTTGCAGGCACATCCCCGGTTGGGGGTGTGCAGGAGGCAGCTGGTCGATGTTTCTCTCTCATCGACGTTTCTAGCTCTCTATCTCTCTCCCTTCCTCCCTGTAAAAAATCAATAAAATATATATATTTTTAAAAAAAAGTTATATGGGTAATGGGACAGTATCCCCTGAGGAAAACCTGTGTTACACTTTTGAAAAGTAATGAAGACTAACCGTCAATGCCCCTGGACCTGGCCATCTATTCTGCCCTCAGCCCTGTACACTCCTGAGTAGAGGGGGACCCGTGCATCACTGCATGCCACACCCATCTTCCCGGAAGTGGCACTGCAGGTGACAGGACAGGTTTTCTTCAGGACAGGTGGTGTTATCACAGTCAGGAGCGCACCAGGGTGGGTTCCACAGGCTTGGCTTTGATTCCCACCCACCACTGACCAGCTATGCGACTGAAAGCCAGTTTATACACTTCTCCCTGCCTTAGTTCCCTCATCTATAAATTAGGGGTAAAACAACAGTCCACACCTCATGGGGCTTTGTGAGGACTAAGTCAGATAATCTCTGTGAAGATGCAAAAAATGAGCTTGGTATATAGTAAGAATAATCATGGGTGTGGATATGAGTAAACATGTTATTCAGTCACCAAAATTTATTGAGCACTTCAATTATATATGTATTCATTCATTCATTCAACAAATGTTTTTGAGTATTTGCCATGTTCTGGATATGCACACATGGACCTGTATACACACACGTTGTGTGCATATACACAGTATAGATGTATGCATGTGTGCGCACGAATGTGTAAATACAGGGAGAAGAAAGAAGTTTACTATAGATAAGGTGTAAATTGTAAATAGAAACAGAATTCTGATTCCTCTAGTTGCCAAACAGTCCATTTCTGGGCTTCAGGTTTTATAACTTTCCTGTAATACCCATTGCACCGGCCCCAAACACGTGCTCAAACAAGGGTCCTTGTTTAATCAAAAATTGCCCCAAATACATTCATTGGTGATGCTGGCAGTGATGATGCCGTAACGTTACTTAAATCTATAATATATTGGAGCCATCAAAAATTTTAAAAGGCACCCACAAGTCTGCTTTTCAGAACCAGAGAACAAAATAGGAAAACTTTCAAAAGATTTATAAGAAATGAGCTAGTTCCTGTGAATTTCTAGTTGATTACATAGGATCGTTTCAAAAGCCCAGCTCCACTCTAGGGGCCCTGTGAGCTCAGGACACTGAGTGTGGCCAGTGTGTTACAGGACCAGGCGTTACACACTGGATGTGGTGCCATCCCCAGGCCACGGATGACACCCACTCCCCTGCGTGCCTGCTACATTACTGAACTTGGAAAGAAAAGTCCCAGCCCCCTGGGAAAGGCCCAGCCCAGGACACTCTCAGACCACCAGTCCTCACAGCCGTTTCCTCCTGAGGAAGGTAAATAAGAGCACAGGCCAGTTGGAATCAGTTCTGTCTGACTTCATTCCGGAATGTGTGACTTATTTATAATCAGCGGCGGCTTTTCTGGGGAAAGGTCTGATCTCTTGGTGCACCAACATGGAATGTGGCACTTGCTAACACTGGACCGATCAGCTATTTGTTTTTCTTTGAAGAGAGAGACTTCAGAAAACATACTGGTCCTCAGGACTGACTGCCTCCCAAATCTCACGCCCGGCATGGCCAGGGCCTGGGGAGTGCTAAGAATGGTGGTATTCATGGAGCCCTGCAGCTTCGCTGCTCATGACTCAGCGGGAGCCTGGCAGCTCTGCTGCCCCCACCGTCAGATCCTCGCAGTCTCCGTACCTGTGGAGTGGCGGAGGTGACCAACACGCTAGCCATCAGACCATTCCTCTTGTACATAGTCTCCAGGCCACAGGGAGCTTCAGGGCAGCCTCTGTCGGTGACATAACCCGTCTGGAGAAGTCCTGCAAGGCAAAGGAGCTCATAAAAACCAGCCCTCAAAGACAGCTAGACCCCACCTTTGGGGAAAGGGGGTGACAAGATTTGAGCAGATGACCCCAGAAACCTTTAAAGAAAGATTATAAGCTGGTGGCCTTTGGGCTAAATGTGGCCCACAGATGTACTTTGTTGGGCTTACACACGTTTTAATATTTTTTAAATGAATCACCTATGTTTAAAACTTGAAAGGTTTCATGCAGGATCCTGGATTTCTGACATTTCTTGAAATTAGGAATACCTGGCAGTACCAGGCCCACATCCCCGCCCACCTGGCCCTTGCAGGCACTAGAGTTTGTGATCTTAAAGTGGAGACAGGTGAAGAAGACAAATGGATTCTGCTGTGTCTGCCTGTGCACCAGACCATGTCAGCAGCAATAATGTGGAGAGCAGCTAATATTGCACAGTACTCGCCTGGTGCCATGCGTTTTACACACCGCAGCTCACCTAACCCTCACTGCAGTCCTTGGGGAGGCCCTACCATTACACCCACAGGGCACAGAGGAATCAGAAGCAGGGAGCTAACGTGACTCACACTTTGGTGCCTCAGCTCATGCTGTCCCCATCCCATCAGCATTCAAGATCCTACTCAGCTGTCATTTCGTCTGGTTATCAGGCCTGGACCACCCAGAGCAACATCAGTTGCTTTATACCAATGTGTGTGTACACAATTCTAACACAGCATTTATCACATCATCAAACATTTCAGAACCGTAGCCACACGAGCTTTTTTGCAGGAAAGTGGTGAGGAGAGTGGGGAGATTGTAATGGGAGGAGGGAAGGAGAAGGCAAAGGTTCCAGCTGGAAGCCAACTGCAATTTCCCAGGCACAGATGAGGAGGGTACTCTGAGCTAAGTTTGCAGCAGTGAAGTCAGAGGGAAGGAGACAGGCCAAAAGGCATTCAGGGCAGAATTCAATAGAAATTGATGAGGGCGGGAGGGAGCACAAGCCGAGGATGAATGGTTTCTGGCTGGAGGTACCAGAAGGATGATGGTGAAGGGACAGAGGTGCGGGAAAAGATGATGAATTTAATTTGTGACATGCTGGGTCTGTGGTGCCAAGGACATAATCAGTCCTGGTAAGCAAGATCAAGCCCAAAGGTCACTGGGAAAGATGGAAAACAAGGAGGTACAAGTCTGGTCTTGAACTGTCTGTGTACCCACTATGCTTCCGGCAGCCTGAGCTAGAAAGACAGGGCTTGTTTCCGATCTCACTCCTGCATGTCTCGCCACTGACGAAAACAGACTAATTTATGGGCAACAATTCTCAGACAAGTGATATTTCACATGGAAGAAGAAAACAGAACCAAACAGAATGGAAGATCCTTTCCAGGGCCCCGAGAAACCTCCACCCACCCACCTTCAGTCCCTGAGGCCTGGCCAAGCTCCAACTCCTGGTCAGGAACCAGACTCCCAACAAGGAGGTAAGCCCGGCTCAGCCCTTCCCTAAGAACCCTTCCCCAACCCCATGGGCCGGCCCTAACGATGGGAGCCAAGCCTCCCAGGCCAGACTGAACCACAGTGGCCACCTCGTTCTCCTGAGAGCTTGAAACCCCGAGATGCCAATCTCTGCTGGTTAACCAAACAGAGGGACTGTACCCTCGGGAGCAGATGTTGGCCAAATCCTGCCGGGTGCAGGGTCAGTCGGTCAAAAAGAGAGGCACAGAGAGAAGCTCAAGAGACAACGGTGTCTGAAAGGTCGGGGAGAGCACTGGGCCTGGTTCCCACTGCTTTTTAACAAATGCCTCTTTTTCAGCATCAGATAGATTTCCAAAGACCTTGGCAAAGGCTATTTCCTAAACACCAAGGTCACACAGGGGCCCATGTGAATGGGGGAAGATACATGCCACCATCCATCCATCCATCCACTCACTGAGCTCGTGTCACACAGGCACACTCGTGCTAGGAGTTCCTAACCGTTGTGTGCCTTGGACTCTTTTGGCTGTCTGGTGGAGCCTCAAGGCCCTTTCTCACAGAAATATTTTTAATTGTGTAAAATAAAATTATACAAGAAACCAATCACACAGGATTTCCCAGGAAACCAACTATATAAAAATACAGTCATTAAATTATTTTTAAAACAATTGCAATGTAGTAAGGGAATAAATTTTAATTATTTATGTATGTATGTATTATTGCATTAAATAACAAAATCTATTGGTGGATCTGGAAATTACCATAATTTCAAAGCAGTATGAGCACAGGCATTCTAAGATACCCACAGCTAATATGTGATAGAAAAACATCTGTGAATTTTATTGGTGACAAAGTCCCAGATACTATCAATATTACTGTGATGCATTGTCTATGTTAGTAACTGAGAGAAAATTGTGAAAATAAAGATACCATTTTCCCCATTCAAATTCAGAGATGCCTGGTCGAGAACCGCTGTTCCAGGCTCTGAGACCATGAAGTGAACAGTCCCTGCTCCCATAGATTTCATATTCCAGGGTGGGAGCCAGAAAATACCATGAAGAAGATAATTTATGCTAATAAAAGGGTAATATGCTAATAGTCAGGATGCCCTCATGTGTAACAACCGAACAGCAGGAGGCGCAAGTGGGAAGGGACTTGCAGCACCGGAGACTTGCATCATGCCATCACAATCCATCCGGAGACTTGCATCATGCCATCACAATCCATCACCAGGAGGCCTGGGGCCCAGCGGAGGCCTCTGCTCCAGGCCTGGGGGTCCCTCAGCTCCTGCCTATCTCTTTGGGGCAATCCATCAAGGAGCCCCGGATGAATGGGCAGGGCCTACCTCTTTGGGGCGATGGAAATCAGGGCTCCCACACTGTGACAGGGCATAGGCCAACCTGGGGGATCCCCCCCCCCTCCTTCCCCCAGTGCACGAATTTTGTGCACCAGGCCACTAGTTTCTGATGAGAAGTGTCTTGAAGAAACACATGGAGGGGAATACAGTATTTGTCAGGGTGGTCCAGGAAGGACTCTCTGCAGATGTGATCTTTGAATTGAACCTTAGGAAAGAATCAACCACAGGAAAAGGACTATTCTTAGCAGAGGGCACAGCAAATGCAAAGGTCCTGGATGCACATGAGCATAGGGGTGTCGAACTCAATCAGAGAAGGGGCCAAAATCTAAAATCCAGCCTAAATCGCAGGCCGAATGGTTTACTGAACAGTCATAAACTGTCATTGTAATGGAAACGCAGCGGAGTGCAGTGATGACAGCGCGGTGCGGGCCACATTGCAAGGCCTGGCGGGACGGATTTGGCCCGCGGGCCTTGTGTTTGACACATGTGGCATAGAAGCTTTGTGACAGAGGCAGATGGCCATGGCTGGAGCTTAGAGAGTGGGAGGCAGTGGACAGACAGGCTGGGGCCAGGGCCTGGAGGGCCTTTCAGGCTACAGTGGGGGGTTGGGGTTTATTTGGAGTACACTAGAGGGTTCTGAGCAGGGGAGTGACATGGCCTGATCTGTTTTGAAGGTCACTGTAGCTACTGTGTAGAGAACTGGGTTGGAGAGCCAAAAAAAAAAAAAAAACAGAAGCAGTGAAGCCAGTGGTGGGTAAGGAACGATGATGACAAGATTGCTGGCCACGGGGACCAGGGATGGGTTTGGGAGAAGGTTTGGAGGTGAAGCAGACAAGACTTGTCAATGGACTGCATGTGAGGGAAAAGGAAGAGAGGATGAATGGGGGCCGTTATGACCGGGTAGATGTTGACCTAAAAGCCATACGCTCATCAGCAGTTTGCTCATCATTCACTGAACAGCCCCAAGTCATCCTCTACCGAGACAGCTGGTGCACCAGTTCTGGGGACCCAGAGTCGAAGGTGACACAGCCCTGTGTCCTATGGTGCATGTGGGAGAGAAAGTCCAACAAGGACACATTACAGGTTCACCTTGTGGGGGAGAGGGTCAAGGAAGACATCACTGAGCAGAACTACTGAGTTGGGTCTTAAAGGACCAGGGGCAGTGTTTCAGGGAAAGAGCGGAGAACAGGAGGGCAGTGTGAGCAGGTATGGAAGCGCGCAGGTATGTAATGCCAGTGTGCCAGGAGCACCAGAAATCCTCCCCCTTCTCCCTTTATCTCAGCCCCATGCTCAAACACAGGCACTGAGGCACAGCAGCAAACAAGCCAGGCACAGAGTCTGTTTGACAGGCGGCCCTGACACATCTGTGCAGCAAACATGGCGAAGTTTTTCCTAAGCCCTGAGCTGTGTGCAGTCTGATCATCACTGTCATCCTGACAATTTACCAAACGCTTTGTTTCAGGCTCTGGCTAAGGATGTTTATGCATTAAAAATTTTTTTTTTTTTACAGATGAGGAAACTGGCACTCAGAGAGAAATTAACTCTGTCACTTAGGGATACGATTTGATGTGCTTGCATTGACTGTGTTGCCTGTCACACTGGAGGCAGTCTGGCCTAAAAGTAAGAGCACCAGCTGTTTTATTTTATTTTTTTCCACTTTATTATTTATTTTTTTTTATTAAGATATTATATGTATACATATCTTACCATTGCCCCTCCCATACATGCCCTCCCTCCCCAGACTTTTTCGTCCATTGGTTATGCTTATATGCATGCATACAAGTCCTTCAGTTGATTTCTTATCTCCCCCATTTTAGTTGGGCCATTTTAATCTGTACATACCAAAATCCTATTTTCCACCCTCCCTCTGCCTCTCTCACCTCTCTCACCTTCCTCCCTCTCTCTCTCTCCTTCTACCCCCCTCCCCATCTCTCTCTCTCTCTCTTTCTCTCTCTCTCTCTCTTTCTCTCTCTCTCTCTCACACACACACACACACACTGGCTGCTAACGCCTCCTTGGAAACGAAAACACAGCAGGAGAAAAAGCAATTCTCATGATGTAACTCGGCAAGCACGTGGCAGTTGTAGCAGAACCACAGAACAATCCCCCGTCTCTTGTTTCCCTGTGACAGAGTCTGGTCTGGTGTGTGTGGGCTCCAGAGGAGGGGAAGGAAAATCCCATATGCAACATTGGTTTT